TTCGACCACGGAGTAATGGGAGAGTAGATCAGGCCAACGGTATCTTAAAGGCCATTCTAACAAGAACTCTCCTCGATGCCCCCGGAATGAAACTTGTGAACGCACTCTCTCGCGCTGTTTCTATATTCAACCGACGTATATCTCCTAACGGCTACAGCCCGTTCTTCTTGCTCTTCGGAACACAACCTTCAAACGAAGAGCAAGCATATATGGAATATGTCCGAGAACCAACGCTACAAGAGGAACGTGACTGGATAGAAGAACTGGTTAGATCTCACGCCGCACCTATCGCTCGCTCGTACGTTGCCAGCATGAAAGCAATCTGCGACAAGACCCGAGCATACCTCCAAGAAAAGAAAGCCATCACGAGAATTTACGCCCCGGGAGATTGGGTCTTGCGAGTCCGTCAAAAGAAGCATAAATTTGAACCTTACTATGATGGACCCTGGGCAATCGCAGCATGTCACGTCAATAACACCTAATCACTGATCTCCCCAGGAGAATTCAAGTTAGGTAACCGCTACAATGGTACTAATTTGTTCCCAGCATACGTTCATGAAGGCCACCCAGTGAAAAGCTTATGGTACAGGAATAAAAGAATGTTAGAGCAGGATCATAGGAACTTGAAGGACTGTGGAGGGTTATAATGTTGAGTAATAAACTTTGGTGAGCTGCGGACAGCTCAGTTGGAGAAGGAGGATGATTTGTGGATCCTAAACGTAGCAGGCTACGTAATGTAACATAGACTACTAAATGCGGTTAGCCTATATTTAGTAAGCTACGCACAAAGTGTAGATTTCGGAGTTGGGAGTTAGGAGGAAAGATAGACAAAATTTATTAGAACTCAAGCTTAACTATTGCATTCTGCGGAACTAGCTGTAGTAGAGCCACAAGTTATATTTGTCACCATCCTGTTTCAATTGTGATCGATCGAAACCCACAGCGACCTTTGCAACTCCCTGTACCCTTACGTTATAATTATCATGTGGTAACCTCAAAATATCAATTTTGCTTGATGGTTTATCGCTAATGAACCAACCCAGCTGATTCATCTTAAAATTTTTAGGCCAATCACACCCTCGGGCGTACTATTATCGCAACTCTTATTCTTATAAAAATTGCCGAAAAATCTAAGCTTCTCCTTGCTTTGTGAAATGGAGTTTAAGTTTGGCCCTTACTATCGCCACTTTGTTGAAATTTACGTTATCACACTAATCCAGGAACTCTTTCTAGTGGAAGGAGTTCGTTTTTTCATATTGAATCCAGTATCTTCAAATGCGCTGCCTTTGCGGCTCTGGGATACTCTCGTGGATCTTCATGCCAACTGCTTTCTCGGTGACCAGAAACGATAAAAATGCTACGCATTGAACTAGAAGGAGTTGATGGTGTATGGGCCACGTATCTGATTCGCCTTCCCGTCTGCCGAAGTTTGCATCTCGGATCATGGTTGTATTTGACATTGTCGTATCGTAAACAGTTGTCGATAGAATTTGTGTTGCTACAAGTTCCAGATTTTTGGAAGAGCTGTAGAATACTTCGGAAGGTGATACTGAGAAATTATAGGATGAATCAGAATCTATTGGTGCCTATATCTTCATACACTATATTATTTTGTCTGAGAGGTGAATAATTTGTCGCAGGATCAATTGATGATGGTAGACACTAGAGCAAGTTCAAAAGGAAAGTCAGATAATTACTCTAATCTACAGAAGGTGCCCGAATTGTTACTCTTGTCTATACTAATTACATATTTTTCAATATCATGGTCTTGGGGATCACGGCATTGGTTACCAGCCTCACACAACCAGCCCTGCGACAACTAACCTCGTGACAACCAGCCTCATCAAAGCTATCCTGGTGATTACCATTCTCACGGATCTATCCCATTCTGATGCAAAAAAAAGGATCTATCCCATACCGACTAAACCGTATTTATCGCTGTCTTCTCCATATACAGGCTATGGATACAGACGTTAATGTATATCCTCTCCTATATCTCCTTCACGGCTCTCCTGAGGCAGTATTAGTTCTTCCAAGTCTTCCATTGGTCATGCACTTTGAAAGGCTTTTTGCCTTATTTACTTTCCTTCCACAGTCAACGAAACGACGGCTAGCTGGAGGCTGTAGATTTGTGAATGGCTGTGGAACTCACACTCCTCATTTCTAGACTCATTTCATTTTCTTTCCAAATTTCGTGCTGAAATATCATTAAATACTTGACAGAGTGATTTTTTTGCATCAGATTTTAGTTGCGTATGCAGCTACCTAGCTATGACACAATATCAAAGAAAAGTACAGAATAGATGATTCAACGTAAAGGAAGAGCACTCATGCCTCAGATTTCATTTGCAAGTACCACTGCGAAGTTATGGTGGCTTTTTGTTCACCCCAAGTCAACCCTCATCCGTGAACATCTACCCAGGGGAACGTCTCAAAAACCCTGAGTTATCCAGACATGCCTTTATCACCTTTCAACGTTTCTCCGCGCGATATGTGATCTGGGGTGTCTCCCTCCTAAGTGGAGTAGGTGCCCAGGCTACTCAAACTATACCGGAGAACACCACCAGGAGGCGGACCACAACACCTTCCATCGTTGGCTTGTTTTTATAGTGTCAGCTGCACTCTCGCAAGCGAAGCCTTGGCGCGCACAAAGCTCAATCCGTTAAACTCCATGCCAAAGTTCGAAATTTCACGCCCGTCGAAAACGTATCACTCTTCTGCATCATCTTGTAAACTTGTCCTGATTCCTCTTGCCTCCATCCCAAAGAGCTGTCTCCCAGATTTGTGCGCCACGCTTTGCTTCCTCCGTCGGATATAAATATCGGCGTGGGCGTGTATTTGGTGGTCAACTGAGACCAGAGAAGGTCGAAGAGTGGTGTGGTCATTGGAATGAGGATGTACTTGGTCGTACTTGTAGACTCGATGAGACGAAGATGGGAGTCAAACTCGTTGGGAGCGAAATAACGACGTGGATGAGTAATTTGAATTTTTGCCTCGTAGGCCAACTTCTTTGATATTGCGAAATTTGACTGAACTTGGCTCTGGGGGAATATTTTACTCCCCGGTTCATAGAGGACACCGCGTACAGGTGTTCAGTCTTGTCCTCATTGACAGAGTGTGTTTGCTGTAGAGAAGTCTAGCCCAACTTCATTATGCCGTCTGAGGTTTGGGGGAGTGCCGTACACTAATCAGTAATGGAAGTCTCCCTGGCTGATTTGCCGAAACCCGAGTATTGGCGCCCGCAGACGGTCCATAATCGGAAACACAATAAAAGTGTCATTCCTAGCATGCCCGAGATCTATTCCTCGAATTTTATTTAAACTTCATAGTCGCATTTCCCTTTTAGAGTAACAGTCCTACATGAACCAAGACTCGGTCTTTGTATTTCACGACTTATCCCCTCCTTGTGGTTGGACATAGTTTTGTAAATTGAAGAATGGATATTGGCCGATAATTGTAAGGCAGACTCCTGATCGCAATTGGAATAACTTCTTGACCGATCGTTAAGGCATACTGGTGTGTGTTAATATTGAGCTAGAGGAATCGCTTGATAATGATAAGAACTACATTGATGGGATGTCGCCGATTATACATTCCTTTTGATTTCTTTCGACGTCCATCCGAATGCGCTTCTTCATTTAAATTTGATTTCATTTAGCCCGATTTGGCGCCCTATGGGCCCATGCAGGTGTCTACGAACTCTAATATTTACATAGGAGGAAACCTTGCGGTAAAAACCTCCTTAGCTGCCTGACTTGACTCTGCGCAATTATGGTCTTACCTCTAGGAAGTGCACTCACACTGTTGTTGCCAGTGTGGATTCCGTCCTTGTCCTGTGTAGACATTTTCCTCTCTCTGCCTGATTAACGCCTCGATTTCCCCGGTCATCCGAAACTGCTCTAGCCATCCTTCCTTTTGAATCCACTGTGCAATTCTAGTCATATCTTTGACGTTATTTACCATAGCTTCAAAAGATCGAGTTGTGGATTTTCGTAGCCACTCACCTCTTACCTTAGCCCATCTTGGACAAGACATCACCATGTGCTTTATATTTTGGGACGGATATCCACATTGGCAGCATGGTTTTCCTACTTCTGGCACGTTCCTTCTGTATAAGTAAGCATTGAGCCGAATGTGCTCGCTTCTTACTTGTGTGGCAATGCTACTCTGGGCCCTTCTAAGGTTTTGGTGGATTTGGATAGGTGACTCTCTATAGTTCATCATAAGTCTACCTGTTTTCTTGTTACGCTTCTTCATTGTTAATCTAAATATGCAGAGCACTCTGAGCGATGATACCAGCACCAACGAATGCTGAAGAATTTGTCACTATCAAGGGTCTCAGAGTTGGATGGTGCAGTGGTATACCATTGGTGCCGTTCTCCCAAGTAGATACTGGGTAGCTTGAACACCTACCCCATTAGAGACAAGAGAAAGCTGGTTCAAATCCAGTAAAACCCACACACCACTCTCTCTCGCGGTGATATTGTACTTATAGGATGATGAAAGCACACTCCAATAACCACAGGTTTTTCACGCTTTTCCCTGTGGTAGGTATGCACGGAAGAGGTCTTTTTTTTATCATTAAGTGTATGCAAACGGAAGAGGTTACACGCCGTAAGAGTTAACCTCTAGTGGTATCTGCAAATGAAATTTGAGTGAGAGTGCTCTAGACATCAAATTGAGTCATCCTACTTTAGGTACATATCTTTCGATTAAAACATGCATGGGCCTCAGAGCGCCCAATCAAGATAACAGAATTATTTATTCATTTATGGACGCTGAGTAATTGATTGGGTTTTATACTCAGCATAATAAATTATCCTGTTTTACATCCCTATTCGTGCTCGACCAAGCGAAACCTCTTTGATCTGACACGCTGGGGTCATCTAGCTTCTGGATAACTGCGAAAAATGTATCACTTGGATATTGAAATGTGGCGCGAAATTGAGAGATTCCCTTCGCCATCGTGAATAAAGTGAACCTAACCACGATCGGCCAATATGTCACAGCCAGATTTTAATTCATCTTCTATTACAGAAAATGCACCATCAACACCAAACGGAAAAACAACTATTGTGGCGCCTATTGTGAGTGATGGAGAGCACGTCGAGCTTTCGGAAATGATGCCATTCGGCCCAGATATGAGTCCAGACAAAGACATTATGCAACTTGCGAGGCTTGGTGATATACACGGCATTGAGAAGCTTTTTCAAAGCGGAACATTTGATCCAACGTACTGTGATGCAGAAGGAATCTCCCCTCTTCATGTAAATTTCCTATTCTATTATTTATTTCTGAAAAACTGACATCAAATAGTGGGCTGCCATCAACAATCAATACGCCATGTGTCAATTTCTACTAAATTCGGGAGCCGACGTCAACAAGAAAGGAGGAGAGTCTGTAGCCACACCAGCGATGTGGGCTGCTCAGAGATGTCATTATTACACTGTTAACCTACTATTGCAGCACGGTGCAGATCCACTTATCACAGATATACAGGGCTACAATATACTTCATCTAGCGACTTTTGAAGGTAACATTTATCTGCTAGTTCTGTTACTGCATCAAAATATCGAAGTTGATGTTACAGACCTTCAAGGGCACACGTGCCTCATGTGGGCAGCATACAAAGGCTTCCCCTCTTGTGTGGACTTATTCTTACGGTGGGGTGCGAACGTTCACGCTTCGGATGAGTCTGGATTCACTGCTTTACACTGGGCTCTAGTAAAAGGATCCCTTTTCTGCATTCAAAAATTAATAGAATATGGCGCAGACCGTTTTGTCAAGACTTCAACTGGAAAGACGCCTGCAATCACTGCTGAAGAAATGAAGACTGTGTCAACATGGCACAAGGCCCTAAAAGAGAGTGGATATAACGAGAATGGAAATGCCAAAAATCTAAAATTTCCCTTTTCCAATATGCTCCTGAATGACAAGCGTGTATTCATGAATAGGTTCTATTTTTTGTTTCCTTTCTTCATTATTTGGGCCATGATTATGATCCTTAGCCATATGGTAGTATTTGCAGGTATACCGTTGGCCCTCTGTGCAGGGTTCTGTCTTCAATGGTCTGCCCAACAGTTGATGGACTATGCTCCCTCGGATATGAAACATATGCATAAGACTGTAAGCCCAAAATTTTTGTTGACATCTTTGGAACTAATTTATACAGCCTTGGCTAGCAGGTGTATTTTCTGGATCATTCTTCTGGATTGGACTAAATTGGATAGCAACTATCCTTCCCGGTATGTTTTATGCTGAATTAGACCCATAGAACATATACTAAAGTATTCGTAGCCACTTTTTCGACCCATGCAATCACTAATCTCTCCTTTGGTGTGCTCTATTCCTTTTGTGCATACTTCTACACTTGTACTATGACTCATGATCCGGGTTATGTACCAAAGCTTAGTGGCCTTACTCAGCAGAAGGCAGTAATCGATGAACTTCTCAGTTTGTGGAAGTTTGACGAAAATAATTTTTGTGTTCCCTGTATGGTCAGACGACCTTTAAGAAGCAAGCACTGCAAGCAATGTCGTCGATGTGTTGCAAAACACGATCAGTAAGTCCTCGAGTAGTCTTCACAGATTCTGAGCACTAAAACTTGTAGTCATTGTCCTTGGGTATTTAATTGTATTGGAGTGAATAACCATCGACAATTTTTATTATATCTTCTATGTCTAGAATTTGGAATTATATTATTTGTTAAAATTGTTATTGGGTGTACGTCTATCCTGATTGTGATTTAAATTGGCTAACAGCTTTAGATTTCGAGAACAAAGTAACTAGTGGTGCAAGCGGAGAATGTAATCTCTTATCATCGGCTCTGTGTCAACTCATAAATGTAGATTCCTACACATTAATTTTAGCAGCTTGGGGCACGTTACAATTGACTTGGGTCACAATGTTAATGTTTGTCCAACTTGTGCAAATTTCTAGAGCTCTGACAACTTGGGAAAATATGCGTAGCTCACATAGACTCCACTCCGGAAAAGCTTCGGAAGCAATAAAATCAGTACTGTCAGGCAACTCAACGATAGATACCGAGGCGAGGCATATGAGAAAGGGGAATCACCACACACATAAAAAAGGTTGTTTTTCAGCTTGGAAGAGGATGCTTGGAGTCGATAATTTCATGGAGACCGCCTTAGGCAAAAAAGAATCCCAACAGAATCGTAATCCATTCTCAGCAGGTTGTCTTACTAACTGCCGGGATTTTTGGTGTGATTCAGCACCGATACTTGGGGAGAGAGAAAATGGATCAGCTCTACTCCAAGGACACCATGTGGATTATACTAATATATACGAAGCACCACACGTGATGAACTTACGAGGCCATCATGGAGAGACAATAGCATACGAGAGCCTAGCATTAGATGATGGCAGTGAAATATAGATTATCTGTGACATAAATTCATAGTCAAGAGTTTAAAAAATGGAGTGTGCTCGGCACAACACATTTTCCACAAGTGACTACAAATTACTCTTCATGATAAGATATTTCATTCTCGTCAATGAACCTATTCTTGAGGTTCGGACTCGCAAGATAGATTATCATTGTGCTGTGAAAGCTTGCGTATGTCATGGGATCAAGACTGTAGTGTTCTAATTCTCAGCTTGTTTGAATAATTGTAGGTTGGAGATCTGCTCACCGGGCTCCTGACCATACGATACACATTATCAATTGCACCTTAATCTGGGTATTGATTCTATGGGCACAGGTGTAGTGATCTCTAAAGCTGATCCATGGACGGGAGCTAGTGGGTAAGCCGCTTGATCTTCATCTCCATGGCAGTATTTCTTTTCTACCTCGTTACCTTTGATTCAAGGCGTACCCAGGCATGGCGCTAGCTATTAATCCAACCATGCTGCGCTAAAGATTTACTGTGGGGGGGGCTATACAACAATCTATCTAATATTTGAGCCTATCTATAAGTGTAACAAGTTCGCTCGAATGCGAGGCTACCAGCAAAGGGTTCGCATAGTGTAGGATAATTTCAATGTCAATAACAAGTGATTCAGGGACACATAACACAGGTGAAAATCTTCATCTTTTAGAGCTTGGTTATAAAATCCCAAATTGTCTCAAAAAGTGTCATATATGCACCAAATCCTACCGGACACAACAAGCATACCCCTTGAATGTGCAGGATGTCGACAGGGGCTGAAGTAATAATCATTTCTCGCTTCGTAGTTATGCCTAAGGAATTCGGGCTAGACGAGCGAAGTTTTAGTAACTACTAAAAATTTCCTCACACACCCCTTCTTAACCTCCTGCACACACGCCACGTCTCAAGTATCTTATCGTCACCCCCTCGACCTCATCAAACCTGCTTCCAACCTATCGATCAAACTTCCTTACTCATTTCCAACAATACAATGGCGTCCCGTGTGTTTTCACCTAAGATGGCATCTATTATTGCCCAAACTTCTGCTAAATCTGCTCGACCTGCGATGCAAATTGGCATCAAGGCCAACCAGCGTGCGTTTTCTAGTAAGCTATATGAACAACAAATTAGTGTGCTCTTCGCACTCCGTGTACTTATCTAACATCAATCAGTTGCTTCTTCAAGCCTTCGCACAGCCCCTTTCCAAGCTATCAAGCGTCAGCAGGCTTCTAAAATAATCAGTAATGCCTCTCTTAAATTTGCTGGTCGCCAAACCACTCGATCATTTAACTCAGAAATCGCTACTGCCATGGTACAAGTCTCTCAGAACCTCGGAATGGGCTCTGCTGCTATAGGTCTTGGAGGTGCTGGTATTGGCATTGGGCTCGTTTTTTCTGCTCTCTTAACTGCAGTGGCTCGCAATCCCAGCATGCGTGGCCAGCTATTCTCTTATGCCATTTTGGGTTTCGCCTTCGTTGAGGCTATTGGGTTGTTCGATCTTATGGTTGCTATGATGTGCAAGTACGTGTAAATTTTAAAGAGATGGAATTTTCCTTGCCTGATCTACTCAAGACTTGTTGCTTCCAGGGGAATTGGAACCGTCACAGATATAGGTTGTGTAATATACTGTTAACAAGAGAATTTTGTGCTAATTTCAAAATCTGCTCAAATTATGTCAGTTTAATTCTTTTCTAAACACAGGATCAGCTCTTGAGTTACAAAATTATCAAACATCAATTGCAGCGTAGAACTTTAACGCCTTATTTTTGGATGAGTGAAGATCAACACTTCAACCTTTTTGTAATGCAATTCTCAATGTAACTTCAAAATACTGTCGTGGTTCAGAAAAGCGATAGTAGAATTAGTTTATGATCAGAGATGCTTTTCATTCCAGATGTCTGTACTCAGAGTGGGAAACTAGTCACAAAACATCATTATGCTAATCTTCTAGTCCTTACTTTTCCGGCCAGGAAAGGGAGACGCTGACTTTGACAACTAACAGGTAGCTACTGTAACAACAATCCCAGCTCCAAGAATCAAATTTTTGGCTTACGCATGAAACTCAAGGTCAAGGAGGTATCCATTGATTGAATTAAACAGTCACGTTTTGCCTACCTTAGAAAAGGAACGTCCTCGCCTTCTGATCATAAACAGTAGCTCTCGAACACGATGCCAATCATAAATAAATACAAGGGCCTTAGGCATCAAATATCCGTCCAACGAATGATAGTTTTTGTACCTGAACTTTCAGAGCTGTATTCATGTCAGAAATCTACAGGACATACACATTTTACCTCCGAAGGTTAATTAATCACAAGCGATAATCTCTACGAGTCTAGGGGTTAAAACTTTCAACAGAGTCGAGATTAGGTCACGACAAATAGTACATCTGGGGTCCTTATCGAGATGGCAATCGGGAGGAGTAGTGTTGGCAATTTTTTGGACGAAAACACGACCTGCAGAGACTTGATAACTGCACAACTCAACGAAATCATTTACCCACGACCCATATAAAAATCACGCACAAGCTATAAACTAGCTGTAATTATTTTTAAAATAACTGAAACTCTTCACAATCTTCAATTCCTGAAAGATCATCCTAAGCAAAAATATTTTTTAAGACATTCTCTTGAATCATCTTTGCGCATACCTACGTTATCCATAACCCAAAACTCTAACTTACAACCTGAGATACAAGAAGACACTTGTATCGACGCAATTGGCGCGAGCTGTAAAGTTACGATCGAAGTATCGGCCTTCAGTACGTCTTTACGTCGGTCAATAAATCGATCTGCGACAAATCAAAATCAGAGAGATACACACAGCATTTAGCTAGTATATCAACCAGGCATTTCGGAAAAGGACTGACCAATATTACCCAAGTCTTCGGCTCTCAGACGTAATTCCATCTCTACGGTTAGGAGTACAGCAGTGTCGAAGCAAGAGTGATGCGATAAACAGTTATCAAATCGCCTGATGTAAACAAATTAGAGGAAGGATTATGGAAAAGCTACAATGAAGGGAAAAATGAGGAAGAGTGGAGTGGGCCCTGGTGGCCGACATAACGGGGCCTTTACTATGATTATGAGGAGGGGAATTGCATACAAACAGTGGCTTTATCAATATGTGCTTGATACTATTATGAAGTGGACGATGATATGTGTTTGCTTTATTAGATTCTTTTCCTGATGATTGCTATCTATATGAAGGAGAATACTCCTATTTATACCTAAAGCTCATCTATCTAATTGCTAGTAGAATATTCTATCTTGTGATGTAAGATATTCTATCATATGCTATAGAATAGTTTACATTCTTGTTCAAACCATCCACATGCAACTGTTATCATGTCATTACACCAACCACATCTTGTATAGATCTCTATATCATCTAATATAGCTTATCTAATTGGCTGAGTGATTTCACATCATAACAGCCTTTAATGAAGAGAATGGCCCTTTTATGTGACAGGATACTCGGATAAGACATTTTTGGGTGCGAACGTGAGGGAGACGTATATTAGCGAGAAGGTATCAAGAGCTTGAGCGCTTCGGCTGGTTTAGCTCGATTTTTCTGGACGGTATAACTTTATATGTTCAACAAGTGGTTTAAGCCTTAGGTGCTCCTGTATTTTCAGAGGGAAGATATTCGTGTAATAATACCAGTTAGCCTGATCCTGTCATATAGAGATGATTCATTCATTTTTTGTTTTTTGGCATAATAATGTGCTAGGCCATTGACACCCTCCGCACCCTTCTAGGAGCTTGGGAACGAATGAGGCCAGGCTGGATCAGGCTAACTACTGTTAAGCACATATTCCCCATCCCATCTGAATGCGTGGAACACCTTAGATTTTACCTACGTGTTGAACATGTCAAGTCCTAGCGTCCGGAGAAGCCGACTTTGACGTGCCGAAGCACAATTTCCTTCTCAGACTCAGCCACCACACGCAACGGCCCTAGTAACCCTCTCAATCTCTAATTTTTCCTTTCCGTTCAGTGCCAGTCGTGGATCATACGAGAATCTGTTTATCTCATCCAGTCGCCCACCCTGGCCTCTTCATTTTCTTCACTCTCCTTCCTCCAAACCAGCTTTTCTCAATCCTTCTTACATTACCGCTATAGCAGAAGTTTAGTAGACAGGCCACCCATCCGGCTTTTCCCCGTCGTTGCCGTACCCCTAACCGTGGAGGCTGAACGTGGGCCGAAGAGCTTAATACGAGGGCACCAAAGCCCAAGCCTGTGTCGAATGCTCTACTTGGTGTGCCGGCGAGATTTCGTACATAACTCGTCAGCGGCGCCTTGTTGCAGGTCGTGTTGTTGGTGCTTTTTCCCAAGGTATGGACGAATAAATGGCCAGTCCTTCGACGTACCTCGACGGCGCGCGACAGTCGTGGGGACCAAGATATCTTTCTGTAATCTTGGATCTTCAATTCTACGTTTTGGAATTCCTCGGTAGGTGGTGAGATGTATTTGGAGAGGGTCATGAGACGATTCTGTCTGGGAAAGACGGTCAAGGAGACATCGAAGGGGTAAATAATGTCAGTCGTTTTAACACGAATATCAGACATGATTAATCCTATCTGCGGCTCGTATCTGGGGAGTAGACGATTGAATTCGTTGAGTTGTGCAGTCTTGAAACCTTTGCAGGTCGGGTTTTCGACCAAAACCTCGCCAACATCACTCCTCCCGGATGCCATCTCGATAAGAACCGCAGATGTAACCTCTATCGTGACTAAGCCTCGGCTCTCGAAGATTAATTGACTCCGAGGTTCGAAGAAGACACCACTGGCAGTTTTTCGGCATTCGTCCTCCAATGAGAGGGGGCCTTTCTTCTTTGCATTACTTGACGTTGTACCTGCACGCGGCACCCGTTTTGATATATCATATGCAGGCTGGCTCAGCCCTGGGGAAATCTAGCCGACCTACTGGCGCCCTTGGGAGCCCAGTGTTATCTGTCAAGCCTAAACAAACTATTCGGCGCCTTACCATGCATATTTGTTACAGAGAATCGAGTTCTTCCGTTGGGTCGCTTGAGGCTTATGTAGTAGAGAATATATATCTACATGATTTACGAGAGAAGAAGTGCTTGCAGACCAGGTTAATTGAAGTTACGGTGGGAGGAGGCTGTTATCGGTCACCTCAGCAACTCGAGTCCAACTGTCTTGTTCAGTGGCCATGTTAAATTTTGTCGATAAATATATTTTTATTCACCCATCTTCCAAAAGCAGATGCGCCATCTTCAAGCCTAAAATTCTCGAGTTATCACTGGCTCTAGGTTATATACTATCATAGAGGTTTGCTGATACGATTATTGATCAAAACGCATATCTATATCTCTATCTAGTCTGAATTATTTATTTTCGAGGTCTACCGGGCTACAGTTATAACTACAGCCCCATCCCTGAGGGGACATGGTGACTGGTGTAATCTACAATTTCATACTATTCAAAGAGAGCCAAAAGGCCTGATACAAACTTATGAAGCTATTATGAGCGCTGTACAGCGAGCCCCTCAAATAAAATACATCAAACAGCGCTGATCGGGTAGATTTCCGACAGGAATCTGGTCTTTGATATAAAAGAGAATCGTTTATCAGCACGGGAAGTGGCGAGAAGAGAGAAGAGATTAACCAAACTACGTCGATGACCAATAGAGGCCAGTCTCTGTCGAACAAATGGGCATGAAACTAAATGGGTTATAGACTTGAGACACCTACAGGAACAAGTCATGAGAGCATTTTCATCAACGAATCTATTGTGGTAAGCGCAGAAATCACCGTGCACAGCACGGCAATGAATAAGGTACCCAAAATAGCGGCGAATAGGTCCAAGCTCGTCGCAAGGCTTCTTGGGAAATGGCATCTGTAGCTCGCAGTAGGTGGAGGGAGCATGGCTTTGCCACCATGTGGATGTCAGGGTCCTGATAAACATTTTTGTCTTTGCTTGTGCTCCAGCAAGAGATGCGGAAGCGGGAGCCAATTGGCGTACAGCCTCACCTGCCAAATTTTCGGCCAACTCATTTCCAGAGTTGCCCAAGTGTCCAGGGGACCACATCACGTGGAATTTGCGAGGAGCAGCGATTGGCGGAATTCTCCTTGAAGTCCACTGAGAGGCCAGTTGTAGAAATTCAAAAATTTCTTTCTATCAAGTCTTGGGGGGGGGGGGGGGGTGGAGCAATCAAGAAGGCTTCGTGCTGCTTCATGATTGTCTAGAATCACTGGGATATTAGTCGCAAGCTTGGAAATAGGAGCTGCTATGGCACCTATGATCTTGGAGTCATATACCTCAAAGTCAGGGCCTAGAGGGATTCTCAATTCTACTATGGTTATATTCTTGTAGATAAAGACAGCACCTGCCCCTGCGGATCCACGTTTTTACTTTGTGTCGTCCGAGAAGATGAGGATATCCCACGCTGACAGGTCACGGATACGTCCGACAAATTCGTCAGCGGTTAGAGCACCTCGAGTGAAATTTAGAGGGAATCCATAGATGGGCAGTACAAGTCGATGATGGGGAAATGGATGAACAAGCTGAAGTATTTCTGTTAGCCGGCTGTGTGCTCGAGAACCATTAGATCTTTTAGCCAACGGATCAAAGGGATTAACGGTAGCTGGTCGAAGAGCAGAGTGGAGGTGCGTCTCCTCGAGGAGCAAATGTGCTGGTTTGAGCCACACCTCTCTTCAGACTGCAGCAGCTGGAGTGGTTTTATATACTGGTGTTACCAATATAATCCACTACTTAGTTCTTTTTTTTTCAAAAAATCATTTAAGTGTATTCAGCTATAGAGCTATGACACATGGCTGGTGCTATGTATACATATTGGATGACTCGTTTGACGTTAGAGACACTCATACCCTGTATTTCATTTGCAAATACCACTATGAGGTACGCTTGCTTACACAAACAGTCGACCCTCCTCTGTAAGTACCCACCAAAGGGAAATTCGAAACCTTTAATTATTCAAGCATGTCTCCGTCATCCATGTAGACCAGCGCCGCGAGAAAAGTGGATGTTTTTTGCTGGATTTGAGCCAGCGATCTACTGTCTCGAGTGGAATATGTGTCCTAGCTATTTAGATCTTACTTGAGTAACCGACCTAGACGATGTACCACCGCACCATCCAACCATGGCGGTGTTTATAGTGAGACCTTGGATCCCTCATGATATCCAGAGCCAGTCACAATTTAATTTTTGAACAGTATACCACTTGGCCATCTAGATCTAACGTGAGACGGCAATTACTATTTGGACGACGGAGTTGCTGTTCAACACCACAACCTCACCTCCCCAATCTGTTTTTCCTATACTATCGGAGTTAAAATGGCTCCAAAAGAATTAGTACCGTTACTGATATCTCTGATGTTATTAACTGGCGTGTGCAATACTTTACTCACTAAATATCAAGTCTGTTGCCCCTACGAATCTGCAGGACCTTTAATGATATAATGTAGGATAACCTGTGTGTGAGGAACTGCAATTATTCCGATCCTTCAAAGCGCAAGAATTTCGAACAGCCTGTTCTACAAACGGCAAGTCTGTTCGAAGCTTTGATCGATTTAACGCCCTAACACGGTGTTTCTACAGCTGCAGATGTTTATCGGGGAATTCGGGTCATGGCTATTTGTCAAGTGTTTCCAGCTATTAAAATCCTCTAGAACCAAAATTGGGAACACTGAGCGGGGAGACTACCTTTCCATTCCACAACAGAGTAATGAGGCGACAAACAACGAAACCGAGAGTACAATTTTAAGTGCTCCTGTAATCTCGATAGCAAAGCCGCTGGCGTTACTCGCCAAGGAAAAAGTTCCATTGAAAGGCTGGAAACATTTACTTCTTTCTCTTCCGGCCCTGTGCGACATTTGTGGCACAACTCTTATGAATGTGGGACTTCTCTTTGTCGTTCCTTCTATTTATCAAATGACTAGGGGTGCCCTAGTTCTATTTGTTGGTCTGTTCAGTATCATTTTCCTGAAGCAGCAGCTACTTCGCTTTCAATGGTTCGCTTTGCTCACAGTATTCATGGGAGTCGGAATCGTAGGAGCTGCAGGAGCAGTCTATCATGACGATAACAATCCTCAAAGCATAACATCGTTATACACAAGAACTATTAAGATACTCGTAGCAGAAGACCAACCATCCGAAGTTATTCGAACGATCATTGGAGTTTCTTTGATTGCTGCTGCCCAAGTGTTCACTGCATCGCAGTTTGTATTGGAAGAATTTATTTTGAGTAAATATACCCTTGAGCCACTCGAACTTGTCGGATGGGAGGGTCTGAATGGCTTGTCCGTCACCCTTATCCTTATGGTTCTTATGCACTTTATAGTAGGACAAACACCCGCCGGTCATTATGGATATTTCGACATGATAGAGGGATGGCGGGAAGTGACATCTTCCAAGAGTATCGCCATCTCCAGTATTCTTGTAATGATCTCTATTGGGTAAAATGTGTAACTTTTTGATTCCGGGACATTTACTTACGATTTTAATAGTGGCTTCAACTATTTTGGTCTTTGCGTTACTCAAAACGTGAGTTCTACCGCAAGGTCTACTATTGATACATGTCGAACTTTGTTCATTTGGCTTGTATCCTTATTATTGGGATGGGAAACTTTCAAGTGGCTACAAGTGCTAGGATTTGCTTTACTGGTCTATGGAACATTTTTATTCAATGGTCTCATTAAAGCTCCGCGCATAATCTGCAACAGGCGAGATAGAGAAGATGTCATTGCTGAGGACTCCACCGATCCACTCTTTCATGACTGACGGAGCTGGACACTGGGAACGTCCATGATAAATTAGCTCGCTTATGCAACCTTTACATCTGAGTTTACTTTCGAAGCTCCATTTCTTCCAAGACTTTAAAAAAATTCCTGAGCGGCCTGATGGGCAACAGTGAGACCAACCCACAAAATCCGAATAGAAATGTGACGTCCAAGTGTTTAATGCTCAACAAGCTGAAGTTAGGAGAAAGCCTCGGGGTCAAGGTCTAAAGATTAGCGATGCTCCCTCATAGATTTTCATGTTCTCTTTATTCAGCAATTAATAAGCAAAATTACAAGGGACCTAGAGAAACAATAGCAAAAGAATAAGAAGCTAGTACATGGGTTTCAGTGCTTATTTATACCAAAGAAAAGGCCAAGGAGAAGTAACCTACCATGTCAATGTGGTTATGTGTCCCAAAGAGTAAAGCGCACGGTGATGTCTAGTCAAAAATCGATAACCTGATCCTTCGAAACTATGATAAATAACGCCAAAGAAATTACATGAATTGTGTTGGAAATATCGCGCAATGAAATGGGCGCAATATTCATGGAACGAAAGTAGAAGTTGACTAAAAGAGTGTCATGTTCGGATTACAGCTAAAACTGTGGGAGATGTGCGCTACAAGTACAAGCGTAAGCGACACGTAGCCTAAGCCACAGCATAAACGAATGTGGCGCCATCTGGGCATAGAAAACCCCCAATAACCTCCTTGTGCCCACGCCATACAGCCGCTCTTGTCACCAATAGGTAGCCTGAAGCGCTACCATATTACTCATTCCAACCTCTTAAATACACACGAGATTGTGTCGGGAACCTAGACGAAATGGAGGGCCCGTACGTTCACAACACTCCGTGTCTCCATTTCCAACAAATTGCACAGAGACTTCAAAAGGAAGAATGGCTAGAGAAATCTTGGACGACTGAAAAAATGAGGCTAAATCAGACGAAGAGGGGAGAATAGGAAAACAAGATAAGAACGGAGCCTACACTGGCAATAACAGTGTGGAAGCGCTTCTTAAAGATAAGAATATATTGGCGCAGAATTCAATCAGAAAGCTTAGGGTGATTTTGTTGGATAGTTTCTTATTTAAATTTATGGGTTTGATAGACATCAACATAGACCCGTAAAGCGTCAATCCGGCTAAATGAATTAAAAATAAAAGTAGACCTGTAATCACTTGCTTTGGTTTCTTAAATAAATATAGCTTTCATTTGGGGTGATACAAAAGATGTTGCAAAGCTGGATACCTCGCACACTCCATACTTTTGTCCCGTTGATGCGTGCCTTCAAAAATCCCGATCTTGAAATTAACGTGTTCTGTCATTCAGCTCTTAAGAACAAGCTATAATTTGAGTATAAGACTTCTTAACACATTGTTACAGGCTGCGCCTATCTCCTAGTGACTGTCGCACGGACACTTATCATTATTACGTCATTAGCCTTGCTATCTAAAGAGATGTCCAACTTGGCCATAAAAAATACAGGGTTGCAACAAATATGGAAACTAGATATTGTTGCAGCAAGTCTCATGTAGAATCATAGGCCAATACAGCCCAGATTTGCTATGACAATCCCACTCGGAATATCAAGGATATGGTGTAGTAGAACAGATAGTGAGGTTAGCGCATTGGGAGTTGGGACACCTTAAGTAGCCTCCCCTCGGTGGAAAGTTCCGAGATGTATGTAGAAAATAGACAGTAATCGTCCACCATTCCTTTACTATATAGTTTTGTTGATTGCCCATCACACACATGTCTTTTTTCCAGTCAAAATGATCTCATGGCCCTTTACAAATTCATTTTACCACCTACCAAGGAATTCCAAAACGTAGAAATCATAATCAAAATCTACGATACAAAAAAATGTCAGTCTCCGAGCAACTGCCGCACTCTGTGATAGTACGTCTAAGGACTAAGCTTTTATTCGTCCATACCTCGGGAAAGGGGACCAATATCACGACCTACGACATTTCACCGGCACATCAAGCAGAGCATTCGACAAAGCCTGAGGCATCAGTGCCTCGGTCTTAATATTTCCCACCCGTATTGGGCTTTCATGGTTAATTGTACGGTAGCGATAAGGCAAAGCCAGAGGGATGGACAGTTTTCAAAGCTTATGAGTTGTTAAGAGGCAGAGGGATTAAGGAGACTCTTCAATGAAAAAGACGTAGGTCTCTATAGCCAACTAGAAAGTGCTTCTCATGAAGAGAGAAATCTCGCATAAGACCAGCAGATGCTAAGATGAGCTCGAGCTATGTCTGAGTGGAAAAGAAAAATTAGAGATGGGGCATGTTACGGCAAGGTACAGAAAAAGTTGGAATTTTTATCGACTTTAAAACTTGTTGTCGACTTTATATATGTACGTCTATTATCACAGATATTGGAAATGATTCATGAAATTGAATGATTAGAGGCTAGGACTGATTCCGATTTTATTTTGTAGGAGACTTGTCCCAACTGACAGAGGGCTACAACGTCTTTACAATTTCCACAGGTAATATCCCAATTTTCTAAACACGCTAGCCATACAGGACGTAGCATATAAAACTTAATTCGTATCATCATTTTGGGGTTAAAGTTTACTGTGCATATGCTACTTGAGTCGCATGCCTGACTACTGTGAGACATGCTCAATTATCTATCTAATAACCCACAACAAACCGAAACTACGGAGGGCAAGATTGAACACCTGTACGCGGTGTCCTCTACGAACCTGAGAGTGAAATATTCTCCCAGAGCCAAGTTCAGTCAAATTTCGCAATATCAAAGAAGTTGGCCCACGAGGCAAAAATTCGAATTGCTCCACCATGTCAATCTTTCACCCCCAAAGAGTCCGATTCTCAACTGAGCTACATCAAGTCTACAAGTACGACATAGTACATCCTCGTTTCAATGACCACACCTCTCCTCGACTTTCTCTGGCCTCAGCCGGTCACCAAATACACGCCCACGCCGATATTTATACCCGACGGAAGAAGCAAAGCGTGGCGCACAAATCTGGGAGACAGCTCTTTGGGATGGACGTGAGAGGGGTCAGGACAAGTTTACAAGATGATGCAGAAGAGTGATACGTTTTCGACGGGCGTGAAATTTCGAACTTTGGCATGGAGTTTAACGGATTGAGCTTTGTGCGCGCCAAGGCTTCGCTTGCGAGAGTGCAGCTGACACTATAAAAACAAGCCAACGATGGAAGGTGTTGTGGTCCGCCTCCTGGTGGTGTTCTCCGGTATAGTTTGAGTAGCCTGGGCACCTACTCCACTTAGGAGGGAGACACCCCAGATCACATATCGCGCGGAGAAACGTTGAAAGATGATAAAGGCATGTCTGGATAACTCAGGGTTTTTGAGACGTTCCCCTGGGTAGATATTCACGGATGAGGGTTGACTTGGGGTGAAGAAAAAGCCACCATAACTTCGCAGTGGCACTTGCAAATGAAATCCGAGGCATGAGTGCTCTTCCTTTACGTTGAATCATCTATTCTGTACTTGTCTTTGATATTGTGTCATAGCTAGATAGCTGCATACGCAACTAAAATCTGATGCAAAAAAAAAAAAAACCGAAACTACTCACAACCCTGATCATGAACCCATGAATAATTGGAATAGTAGCCTGCAACATAGCACAATTAGGCTAGATATTGTTGATCAGGACCTAATCCGAACAAATTGTGGTCTTCAAGTTATTGAGGTTCATAATGGAGGCATCTAAGTAGCAAATTACAGATCGAGAAGCACACATACATGGTAGCAAGTTACCAAAGAGGACTATAATCAAAAGAAGAAAATAATACTTATTACGAAGCTCAAGATACTGTTAAGTTGTTTCCTTCGCTTCTTATAATCAGAAAAATCCATCTGTGCAATCTCCGACTCCAGAAACATATTGCATCCTGAAGGCCATTCAAACTGTGAAAAAACTCAATATTTCTGGAGATGTCTTTATATTCTCTGACAGCCAAGTTTACTATCTCGGATCCAGAATAAACCAACCAAAATCTGTCATCAAATACGCAGTTCTGCAAAACAATTAAGCCTACATTTTCATTAGCGACCTGGACATATGGGTATAGAGGGAAATGAAATGGCAGTTAAACTTGCCAAAGCTGGGGAAATAAGACCTGCTATGAGAAAAGACAAATTCACTACAATAATATTCTTGAGAGAAAGAATGAGGCAACAGGTTGTCATCTTTTGGAAGCAAAGATGGCAATCAGAGCTGTTTCGCGAAGAAGAGGGATGAAAGGCCAAAGGACTCGATAAATACTATAGGATCTCTGCACAAAAAATACTCCAGACTTCAAGCTCAAATCCTACAACTACAACAAATAAAGCAGAAAGACTTAGGTTGAATACTCCCAGACAAGGACTGGCATTGGAAATACTTTGGCATACCTCAACAAAATTGGAAAATCAGAAAGTGATTGGTGTGACTACTGTGGAGAAGTAAGACAGACAGTGCCACATCAAATCCTTCATTGTAAAAAATTCAAGGTAGAAAGGAGAAAACATTTTGCAGAAATAACACCACTTACACTATCACTTCTTTTTGGGACACATATTGGGAAAACAGCACTACTTTCCTTTCTGGGTTCAACTAGATGCCTTTGGGCATGCAGAAGATGAAATGGAGTAAAACGAAAACTGCTAGGGAAAAAGAAACATGGAGAAACTTTGTAGATATATTTTGTATGTTTCATGGATAAACGCAGTGGAAGCTAGGATGGTGTCTCATGAGGAGTTTCATGCCAAAACAAAACTCAGTGTTAGATTGAGCCCCTAAAAAATTAGTACAGGCTCAGGAACATAGGGTCGTTTCATAGGGATTGCGTAGTAATACTGTTCGAGACAGAGCTTAGGGCTGTCCTATTATCTGATGTACATATATACCCAGCCTGAAGGAGTATTCTTCTTCACGCAACGTCTTCTGTTTATACTGATACCTATTGTTCATATGCTTATCTCTTCTCTAAAGAAGACCGCCGTTATTGTACCATCCTCAAC